AATGTTGTCAATTCATAAACATGATTTTTAGATGATTTCAGTGTAATACGAGACGGTGAAAGTCTGTTGTATCACCAAAGGAAGAAAATAAATAACAATTAATAATATCTCTTTAGAAAATTGTATTAGGTAATAAATAACAGAATGAAATTGTCTAAAGGTAAAGTGAAAAGTCGTGACCAGTCGGGGCTGGGGGGCGGTCGTCCCACACTTGGATGTGACAACAAATACCCACCGATGATACATTGATTGGCTACCCACGCACGGTCTGGCGCATAATCCATTGGTCATAGCAGGTGATCAGTCTTCTCTTACTCCTGTCTCCACTTCAAAAGCTTCGCTAAATTTTTCATTGTGGATCCGTTTCACATGTAGCATTGTCATACGGCTAGCTGTTGAATGAGGTTGACGTTATTATTATTATCATCACTGTTTCCTTTAATATCTAGAGGAACATAGGGCTTCAGACGCACATCTCCATTGCATTCGGTCCTCTGCCAACGTTTTCATCTGCCCACATGCTTTCATCTCCTCTTCACATTACCTCCTCCACGTCACTCCACCCTACACACAGACTTGAGAGAAATGAAAGTTTACCTTGCTTTCCCGATCCTCGCTGTTGTGATATCCTTATCAGTTCCGTCCGCCTGTAGTTGAAACGATGCTTCCCAGGTAAGTAGGTAAAAAAGGAGGTTGCTTCTTTCAGATCCCTCCCATTTATGCTGGCTAATTTTTGTCTGTTCTAGTTGTAGTTGGCCAGGAATCTTCATCATCTACCACTGTTTTCTCTATGTTCATCTGGAGTAAGTCCTATCTTTGATGCTTCTTCCGCCAACTCGTTGCTTTTCACTTGCATATCTTCCGGTTTGTGGTTCATGTTAACATACAGAAATCTGATTTATAACAACTATTCATTAGAATACCCTCCTCCCCCTCCTTAAGAGCACTTGTGGAATACAACCAATCCGAAATCTTACGTGAAATACCCCCCATCATTGTCAGTCTAAGGGCTTAAATTACCTCAGTCAAAGAAAAACAAACAAACAAACAAGGTGAAACGGTGAACAATCTACCAATTACTGCGAAATACTAACAGACTAACTGACTGACTGGCTAGCTGAGTTTCAACATAAAGCTTCCACAAAGAACTCCATAACCAGATAACGTTACCACAATACACAGAGGACAAAAATGGAAGAGGAAAGAAATTTATGGGAGATAGAATAGCAACATGAGGAACTGGTTACAGGATTTTATCATGAGCTGACATCATCGGTTAGACAGACCAATGGAAAACCTGCAGGGAGTACTGGACAGATAGCTGTTTCATCCAACCTAGTTTCGGACTCTTTATCAGTACTGATCCATCGTCAGGGTTCGAACCCAGGACCTTCTGGTTACAAGGCTAGCAAGCTCATAGACCATCAAGCCACTGGGACCCGATTTAATGGCCCATAAATTTCAAATTCTGCCAATTCACGACATAGCGCGTCCGCTAGCCTGTAACCAATCAATCAAATCCCTACAAACCAATGCTTGGACACATCAGGAATTATTGGATCTTAGTTATTCATTACAAACAGTGAATACACACACACACACACCTGAACACTATTAATAGTCATGGTTTTGAAAAATAAACCATAAAGGAATGTTAAACAAGGCAGAAATCACACATATATATATATATATATATATATATATATATACAGTTATAAACTCAAAACAACTTGCAAGTTCATAATTTCTTCTTTGAATGTGGAATCATGAATATCACCCATAGCGTTCCCATTTTTATTACTATTGTTGAAATTATTCCCTCCACCAAATCTACAATCATTTTGATTATAGGGCGATGATGTTGATGATGGCGGAAATGATAATTTAATCGGGACAGGGAATAATTCTGTACAACCGACACTTCTATTTAATAAAAGTCTTGAGTTACGCCAGTCGTTATTGGCTCGCTTCACTTCTCTACATTCTTTCAACTTTACTTCTAATGATTCTTTCTTTTGTAAGAGTTGCTTATTTGATTCACGTAGTTGAGTTTGACGATTTTTGGCATCTATTATCTTTTGATCAGCTTTATTCAATTCTTCATGATAAAAATAATAATAATAATAACAATGAAATCTTCGAAAAATTGACATTACTGAACAAGGAAAACATCCTGTTCCAAGTTTGATCACGTATCAATATCAGTTGGAGAACCATTGGAAAACAGCTAGGGAGCACTGGACAGCTGTTTCATCCTAGTTTGGCACCTTCCCTCAGTACGCACCCACCCCCGTCAGGGTTCGAAACCATGATTTCCCGGTTTTAAGTCAAGAGTGTATACCATTCAGTTACTGGGAGACGGACAACTCAATGGCCACCGTATGAATTCTAACTTCTCCCAACTCGTGATTTTGGCACCACCACCAACTAATGTCACGGGTGAGTATTTATCTTTACTCCCGACCGGGTTGAACACCACGGGACTTCTCACTCGAACTGCAGGCAACTTTTTCCTACAACCAGTCACTAATGAGCATCAGATTAATTTTCAAAAGTTTCGCTGTAGGGATTTGATTTTATCAATGGCTGGTGCTCGCGCTAAAATCACGAACTGGTCGAAGGTGGAATTCGTTGGCCATTGAGCCGCGTACCACCAGTGACTGAATGGTCCTAGTGCTTGACTTCTACTTGACCTTGACCTTGGGGGCCTGTTCGAATTTTTGGGCCTGCTAGTATAATATCTACATTTTGCATCCAGTCTACTGTTTACCAACATACATTTATCACCTAAATATGAATTCTACCAGAATCATTTACTCTCGTAACTTTATTAATCATCTACGACCAAATGACTTTCATATTCCAAAGAAACCAAGGAGGAAACATCGTAGTGGTTGGCAGAGAGCTCTCAAATGTACACCAATACACTTAACTACGATCCCCGTCATAATGAACACAAACTGTCGCTCTCTGCCAAACAAGATAATGTACCTACAATCCTTGATGTCAACTGATACGTATCATAACACCGCCATAATCACATTACAAGAAACGTGGTTGCATGAACTGTATGATGACAACCTTATCTCACTAAAGGACTTTATTTTATTTCGTCAAGACCGTCAATGTCGTAATAAGAAAAATGGTGTTGGCGTTGCAACTTTTATTCACTCCGAATGGTCTGTCTCAAATAACGTCTGCTTCACCTTCTCAAATGACTTCATTGACTGTATTACTGTCAAATGTCGCCCCAAACATCTCCCCAATCATACACAAATCTATATTACAAACATGTACATTTCTCCTAGCTACTCTCCGTCTGATCTATCTAATTTTTTTTTTTTTTTTTTTTTTTTTGCTGCTGCCAACTTCGACAACTCTCTATCCGTTATTACTGGAGACTTCAACACCTCAGATTGCTCCTTTCTTGAAGCTCTTGGTCACACAAACATAGTCAAATTTCCCACTCGACTTGACAAAACACTCGATCTAGTTTTTAATAATGACGAAGGAGTATATGAAACACGTAGACGTTCACCGATACTTAACTCCGATCGCTGCATTGTCCGCGTTTTGCCAAAAATATACAGCAAAACACATATTAAAATCTTCTCACACCTGTCTACGATAGCACAACAAAGAAGCTACACATCTGACAACCTACTCAATCTAAGATGCATGTTAAAAGATACTAACTGGGATCTATTCTATGAAAGTACATTAGATGACTCAATCACCAATATAATGGATTATCTCAAGTTCTGCCTCGACATATGCTGTCCCAAACAAACACTGTTCAAACGCCTCGACCGCTTCTCGTCTCCCCATCTCAAACAACTTCGCAGGCAAAAAGAAACGTTATATAAATGCAAAGACAAGTTAGGACTTAACAAGATTAATGCTCAAATCAAATCTCAAATCAAAAATCCTAATGCTATCTATAACCAAACACTTTTATCATGCAAATCTCCTATCAGCATGTGGAAATTTTTCAATGAAATTACTGGCAATAGAAAGCGATGTAATGTTTTTCCCTCTTGTGATGTCAAAGCTCTTAATCTTGACTCAGTGACTTATTTCACTCTATCTTAACCAATGCAAGTTCACTGTGTTTTGGTAAACATGCTTATTTAGATAAAGTTTCATATCCTGTGATACGGTGAAGTATAAGTAACCGTACAAGTCAAATTCTTCTTGGGAATTTTAATCTGAATTGATCTCTTACAGATGACCGTCCACTACTTAGCTGACTTATTCTGGTGCTGATGATATTAGTCTGTCAGTTTAAAGTATCTCAAAACCAATGCCAAATTAACAATACACCATAGTGTGTGTTATATCTTCTAAGTTAGCAGTCATGCTTCAAAAGTTGTTCGATAAAATTCCATCATCAGTCAAGGACAGCCAGTGATATGAATTGCTTTTTATTATCTCATGATCAGTGGTGGAGAAGCTGAGGCTTATTGGTGTCGACTTTCAACTAGTAGTGGGTGATGCGTTTGAAACCCTCTATCCACCTATCGAGGTTTCGGGGCGGGTGTGTGTATGTGATAGCCAGGTCGTAGTATTGCAACGACAGAAGATGAGGGCCAGACAACGGATCGTTTATTGAGGAAATCAACAGATATTTATATATTTTTACATACATTGTTATTCGTTATTATTAGCAGAGAAACAGCGTCTTCTGATTGGTTGTTTTCTCGCTAAAAGTTATTTTGTAATCTCTTCTTGACCGTTTCTTTGAAGGTCAGACCATATGTCCGAGAATCGTATTTTCACACGCCAAGCCTGCTGTGTTTGGTTGTTGAGTCGCTCAAGGTTAGGCTTTGTTACTGTTTCATCTCGTGACCCCGATCCAGGACGTAAACATTGACGTATATTGGTGTCTACAATTTTGGGTAGCAGACAGCTCTCGCCACAGTGTCACTAGTCATCGTATAGGTGTGGCTTACTACCAACTGCATTGAATTACAAGGAGTTGTAGAGTATTATTATCCCACCTCCGACATCAATTGTAACACCCAGAAGCAACAGACACAATCAGCGAAGGAAGAAGAGGAAGATGCGAGAGGAAGGTCTATATTTCCAGCACGTAGGGGTCGAATTGCCCGGGTACAAGCTAATCATTGTCATTTATAACAAGGTTAGACAAACGGTCCTCCACCTGTTCCAGCACGGCCAGGCCAGCGTTCTTTTCTGAAAAAGAGGAAACAGGAGACTCATTTAGTGATGTCATGTTAGTTTTTATATCATTACATCGCTCCCTCCCCTCTGGAGGCACTGTCCTCAGTGCCTGGCGGCGGTATAGGGTATGCACTACCTCCATCAGTGGGCACCTCGAAGTAGGTCGTAGCTGGTGGCGGTTGCGAAGATGTCGACGGTTCTTTGACAGCTGCTGGACAGTGTGGTTTCAGCTGGTTGTAATGTGCTGAGATGAGATTTTCCTGGGGGCGTCGCAAGTTCCGCAGGACATATGTAGTTGGAGGTCGGTGTTGTACGATTTCATATGGGCCTTTCCAGGGGGCGTAGAACTTGGGGCACGAACCGGCAGGGACTGACGGCCGATGAAGCCAGACGTAGTCACCCGGGGAATAGGTTGGTCCGTGGGCAAACCGATCATAGTTGCTTTTCTGATGCTGCGAAGAAGACTGCAGATGTCGACGTGTTAGGTTGTAGGCTGTGTCGAGGTGGTGACGAAGGTTGCGGACGTAGGGAATACAGTCGATCTTCTCGTATGGTAGCAACGGTGTCCGGATCTCAACAGGAAGGCGAAGTTCATGCCCAAACAAGAGTAGAGCCGGGGAAAATCCGGTCGACGAATGCACGGAGGAGCGGTATGCAAGCAAGCATTGAGGCAGGACATCGTCCCAGGTGTTCTCCGGTGCGTTGTGCAAAAAGGCACGGAGAAGATGCTTGATGGTTCGGTTGGTGCGTTCCACCAGTCCATTCCCTTGTGGATGATAAGGCGTAGTATGGGTCTTTCGAATGCCGAAAGCATTGCAGATGTGAGAGATAAGAAGACTCTCGAAAGCAGCGCCTTGATCAGAGTGTAGATAAAGAGGGGCACCAAAACGGGACACCCAGTTGTCGATGAAAGCTCGCCCGATCGTCAGGGCATCTTGTTGCTGCAAGGGGACTGCTTCGCACCACTTGGTGAAATAGTCGACCATGACAAGTATATAACGATTCCCGCGTCTCGATGTTGGTACTGGCCCAATGATGTCGACTCCAACTCGATGATTAGGGGCTTCGGTCAGCATAGGTACTAGGGGTGCTCGGGGAGTTGGCTTAGGCTGTTTGATCTGCGCACATATAGCGCAATTGCGGCAAAACTCCATAACATCATGGTGTATAAGTGGCCACCAGAAGCGTTGACGGATGGCGTGTTCAGTTTTCTGTTGGCCAGCGTGTCCCAGTTGATGATGCACCTGACTAATAAGCTCGGGTACTTTAACAGTTGGGACGAGGAGTCGGGGGTTGGCATTTGGTTCCACTATGTAAAGAACATTATCTATAAGTCGTAGTAAACCCCACTTCTCGCAGATGCACCGCGTGGCTGCTGGTAAATCCCGTAGTTCTTTGGACGTCGGTTTATCGTTCCCATGCTGTTGACGTAAATAAATGGGCTGTATCGTTGTGTCCGCCGCTTGCAGGGAGGCCCAGTCGGTGTCAGCTGCAGCACCGAGTAACACATTCAGTGTGTTCTCGCAATCGGGCAGGCGAGAGAGAGAGTCGGCGTTACCATGTCGTTTTCCAGGCCGGTATTCACAAGTGAAATCAAACTCCTGTAACCGTTCCTGCCAGCGGGCAAGTTGGCCGTCGGCATCACGAAAATTTTGCAACCACTGTAACGCCTTGTGGTCAGTCCGGACTCGAAATTTGCGCCCCAATAAGTAATGACGAAAGTAGGAGAGGAAGTAGACGAGGGCTAGCATCTCACGTCGCGTCGTAGAATACCGCGTCTCTCTTTTGTCTAGCATTCGACTAGCATATGCTATCACTCGTATTTGTCCGTCAGAGGTTGTTTGCGAGAGAACGGCTCCTATTGCATGTGCACTGGCGTCGGTATCCAGAATGAAGGGGCCGCTACCAGCCGATGTGTCTGGAAACGATAGGACAGGGGGAGAAGTTAGACATTTTTTAAGCGTGTCAAAGGCTACCTGGCACTCATTTGTCCAAACGAATTTCCGTCCTTTTTCTGTCAATCGATGGAGAGGGGCTGCTATACTGGCGAAATTCTGGACGAAACGCCGGTAATAGGAGGCGAGTCCCATGAAACTGCGTACGTCAGCGGTCGATTTAGGGGTCGGCCAGTTAACAACTGCTTGAGTTTTGCTGCTATCCGTATGTACTCCTTGTGGAGTAATCTCATGTCCAAGGAAAATAACAGATTTCTGCAGGAATTTGCATTTTGAGGCTTGCAGCTTAAGGTTACTCTCGCGTAAGCGTTGAAATACGGCGCGAAGGTTGGCATGATGGTCTTCGAGAGACTGGCCGAACACGATGATATCGTCCAGGTAGATGAGGCACTGTTTGGGGACTAGCCCTGCAAGTACTGTTTGCATGAGCCGTTGAAACGTAGCAGGGGCGTTAGACAGGCCAAATGGCATGGTTTCGAATTCGTACAGCCCCGTAGGCACAACGAACGCAGTTTTGGGGCGGTCTTCTGGGCGAATTTCAACTTGCCAATAATCGGAAGCGAGATCTAGTGTGGAAAACCACTGTGCCCCACCTAAAGCATCTAAGGTAGCGTCGATGCGAGGCAAAGGAAAAGAATCCCGTTGTGTGATTGCATTTAAGCGGCGATAGTCGACACAGAGGCGGAGAGAACCATCTTTCTTTTTCACAAGAACGATTGGAGATGCCCACGGTGACGTAGACGGTTTAATCACCTTCTTTCGTAACATATCTGTTATCATGGTATCCAACTGCTGTTGGTAATGAATGGGCACTCGTCGCGGTGGCGTCCTAATGGGCAAGTTATCACCTGTCTGAATCTCGTGCTGTACGATATTAGTCCGCCCCATCACTTGCCCATCGTCAAATACATCACTGTACTCCTGTAGCAGGGCCAGGGTGTCGGTACGGTCTTTTAGACTGAGGTGGGGGTTATCATGGATGTTCACCACTGTCATCTGGGTAAAGCACAAACATTAGCACTCTGGTTGCGGTTGACTGGTCGGCGACATGCGAGGTTATGTGTCCCCAGCCGAATTCGAAAGCGTCTTAGGTCAATGACAGCGTTTTTTTCAGTTAAGAAGTCCACGCCCAGTATGGCGTCCCATCGTATAACATCACAAATGACGAATGACTGAACACAAGTAAAACCTGGGAACGTCACGGAAAGTGTGGCCATGTCGGTTACCTTGATAGGGGCTCCATTGGCGGTAATTAACTGGAGCTGATTGGGGAGAGGTTTAGGTTTGACCCCAAGTGTCTGGACCAATTGCGTGCGAACAACAGAGGATGATGCCCCGGTGTCCACCAGAAAAGTGACGTCAGTGCCCTGGAGTTTACCTTCAAGGAGGAGGGGAGATTTCGAGCAATTATCAAATAATGACACATCAGAACATGGCTCACCTTGCGGTTTTTTGTTATGCCCACATTTCCATGCTCGCCGCCCGAACCGGCGACAGTAATAGCACTTACTGGGGTCATCATGCCGTTGGGACGGAATTGGAGGTTGGTTTGACGATGGAGCATTAGGCCGGCGTTGTCGTGGTGCTGGGACGGTTGTTCTTCGCTCGGTGGTCCCGAGAGCATAGCAGGGCGTACTGGCAGTTGGAGTGAGAATATGCTCGACGCTCTCGAATCGCTTTACCACCTCAATGGCCTCTGAGACTGATTTTGCTGGCTGGCGTAGAAGTTGGCACTTGAGCTCATATGATGAGACACCTTGGGCAAAACGGCTACAGATAACATCATCTCGGTTCGGGTTGGGAAGGTTGGGAAATGCGCGCGATGCCATCTCGCGGAGTTGATGCAGGTAATCGAACGCTGTTTCGTCGGGCTCTTGACAGAGGCTGAGAAAGGTGTGCATGTACACCGAAGGGCTGGAGGTTTTGGCAAAACATTCGTCGAGGACATGCCAGTTGTAGCTGATGGATTTGGACGCGGAGAAGCCCCCAGCGATAGCACGGCGTAGTGCGGTGTCACTCATTGCTAGCATAATCTGAGTATATTGTGCGTGTGGAGTAAGACCGGATAAGAGAGACTCCATGCGAATCTTCCACATTTCATAATCGCTGTTTATGTCCAAAGTTGGTAATCCTCGCACCGGTAAGATGTGTTCTGTGGCTGGGGATTGTGGGTTGACTTTTGGAGTAGAGATGATTTCAGGAGGATCGGAAGAATCTGATTTCATTTCGAGATTGAGTTTTGGACACCCCTGACACCAAGGTGTCCAAAACTCAATCTCGAAATGAAATCAGATTCTTCCGATCCTCCTGAAATCATCTCTACTCCAAAAGTCAACCCACAATCCCCAGCCACAGAACACATCTTACCGGTGCGAGGATTACCAACTTTGGACATAAACAGCGATTATGAAATGTGGAAGATTCGCATGGAGTCTCTCTTATCCGGTCTTACTCCACACGCACAATATACTCAGATTATGCTAGCAATGAGTGACACCGCACTACGCCGTGCTATCGCTGGGGGCTTCTCCGCGTCCAAATCCATCAGCTACAACTGGCATGTCCTCGACGAATGTTTTGCCAAAACCTCCAGCCCTTCGGTGTACATGCACACCTTTCTCAGCCTCTGTCAAGAGCCCGACGAAACAGCGTTCGATTACCTGCATCAACTCCGCGAGATGGCATCGCGCGCATTTCCCAACCTTCCCAACCCGAACCGAGATGATGTTATCTGTAGCCGTTTTGCCCAAGGTGTCTCATCATATGAGCTCAAGTGCCAACTTCTACGCCAGCCAGCAAAATCAGTCTCAGAGGCCATTGAGGTGGTAAAGCGATTTGAGAGCGTCGAGCATATTCTCACTCCAACTGCCAGTACGCCCTGCTATGCTCTCGGGACCACCGAGCGAAGAACAACCGTCCCAGCACCACGACAACGCCGGCCTAATGCTCCATCGTCAAACCAACCTCCAATTCCGTCCCAACGGCATGATGACCCCAGTAAGTGCTATTACTGTCGCCGGTTCGGGCGGCGAGCATGGAAATGTGGGCATAACAAAAAACCACAAGGTGAGCCATGTTCTGATGTGTCATTATTTGATAATTGCTCGAAATCTCCCCTCCTCCTTGAAGGTAAACTCCAGGGCACTGACGTCACTTTTCTGGTGGACACCGGGGCATCATCCTCTGTTGTTCGCACGCAATTGGTCCAGACACTTGGGGTCAAACCTAAACCTCTCCCCAATCAGCTCCAGTTAATTACCGCCAATGGAGCCCCTATCAAGGTAACCGACATGGCCACACTTTCCGTGACGTTCCCAGGTTTTACTTGTGTTCAGTCATTCGTCATTTGTGATGTTATACGATGGGACGCCATACTGGGCGTGGACTTCTTAACTGGGAAAAACGCTGTCATTGACCTAAGACGCTTTCGAATTCGGCTGGGGACACATAACCTCGCATTTTACCGACCAGTCAACCGCAACCAGAGTGCTAATGCTTGTGCTTTACCCAGATGACAATGGTGAACATCCATGATAACCCCCACCTCAGTCTAAAAGACCGTACCGACACCCTGGCCCTGCTACAGGAGTACAGTGATGTATTTGACGATGGGCAAGTGATGGGGCGGACTAATATCGTACAGCACGAGATTCAGACAGGTGATAACTTGCCCATTAGGACGCCACCGCGACGAGTGCCCATTCATTACCAACAGCAGTTGGATACCATGATAACAGATATGTTACGAAAGAAGGTGATTAAACCGTCTACGTCACCGTGGGCATCTCCAATCGTTCTTGTGAAAAAGAAAGATGGTTCTCTCCACCTCTGTGTCGACTATCGCCGCTTAAATCCAATCACACAACGGGATTCTTTTCCTTTGCCTCGCATCGACGCTACCTTAGATGCTTTAGGTGGGGCACAGTGGTTTTCCACACTATATCTCGCTTCCGATTACTGGCAAGTTGAAATTCACCCAGAAGACCGCCCCAAAACTGCGTTCGTTGTGCCTACGGGGCTGTACGGATTCTAAACCATGCCATTTGGCTTGTCTAACGCCCCTGCTACGTTTCAACGGCTCATGCAAACAGTACTTGCAGGGCTAGTCCCCAAACAGTGCCTCATCTACCTGGACGATATCATCGTGTTCGGCCAGTCTCTCGAAGACCATCATGTTAACCTTCGCGCCGTATTTCAACGCTTACGCGAGAGTAACCTTAAGCTGCAAGCCTCAAAATGCAAATTCCTGCAGAAATCTGTTATTTTCCTTGGACATGAGATTACTCCACAAGGAGTACATACGGATAGCAGCAAAACTCAAGCAGTTGTTAACTGGCCGACCCCTAAATCGACCGCTGACGTACGTAGTTTCATGGGACTTGCCTCCTATTACCGGCGTTTCGTCCAGAATTTCGCCAGTATAGCAGCCCCTCTCCATCGATTGACAGAAAAAGGACGGAAATTCGTTTGGACAAATGAGTGTCAGGTAGCCTTTGACACGCTTAAAAAATGTCTAACTTCTCCCCCTGTCCTATCGTTTCCAGACACATCGGCTGGTAGCGGCCCCTTCATTCTGGATACCGACGCCAGTGCACATGCAATAGGAGCCGTTCTCTCGCAAACAACCTCTGACGGACAAATACGAGTGATAGCATATGCTGGTCGAATGCTAGACAAAAGAGAGACGCGGTATTCTACGACGCGACGTGAGATGCTAGCCCTCGTCTACTTCCTCTCCTACTTTCGTCATTACTTATTGGGGCGCAAATTTCGAGTCCGGGCTGACCACAAGGCGTTACAGTGGTTGCAAAATTTTCGTGATGCCGACGGCCAACTTGCCCGCTGGCAGGAACGGTTACAGGAGTTTGATTTCACTTGTGAATACCGGTCTGGAAAACGACATGGTAACGCCGACTTTCTCTCTCGCCTGCCCGATTGCGAGAACACACTGAATGTGTTACTCGGTGCTGCAGTTGACACCGACTGGGCCTCCCTGCAAGCGGCGGACACAACGATACAACCCATTTATATACGTCAACAGCATGGGAACGATAAACCGACGTCCAAAGAACTACGGGGTTTACCAGCAGCCACGCGGTGCATCTGCGATAAGTGGGGTTTACTACGACTTATAGATGATGTTCTTTACATAGTGGAACCAAATGCCAACCCCCGACTCCTCGTCCCAACCGTTAAAGTACCCGAGCTTATTAGTCAGGTACATCATCAACTGGGACACGCTGGCCAACAGAAAACTGAACACGCCATCCGTCAACGCTTCTGGTGGCCACTTATTCACCACGATGTTATGGAGTTTTGCCGCAATTGCGCTATATGTGCGCAGATCAAACAGCCTAAGCCAACTCCCCGAGCACCCCTAGTACCTATGCTGACCAAAGCCCCTAATCATCGAGTTGGAGTCGACATCATTGGGCCAGTACCAACATCGAGACGCGGGAATCGTTATATACTTGTCATGGTCGACTATTTCACCAAGTGGTGCGAAGCAGTTCCCTTGCAGGAACAAGATGCCTTGACGATCGGGCGAGCTTTCATCGACAACTGGGTGTCCCGTTTGGGTGCCCCTCTATATCTACACTCTGATCAAGGCGCTGCTTTCGAGAGTCTTCTTATCTCTCACATCTGCAATGCTTTCGGCATTCGAAAGACCTATACTACGCCTTATCATCCACAAGGGAATGGACTGGTGGAACGCACCAACCGAACCATCAAGCATCTTCTCCGTGCCTTTTTGCACAACGCACCGGAGAACACCTGGGACGATGTCCTGCCTCAATGCTTGCTTGCATACCGCTCCTCCGTGCATTCGTCGACAGGATTTTCCCCGGCTCTACTCTTGTTTGGGCGTGAACTTCGCCTTCCTGTTGAGATCCGGACACCGTTGCTACCATACGAGAAGATCGACTGTATTCCCTACGTCCGCAACCCTCGTCACCACCTCGACACAGCCTACAATCTAGCACGTCGACATCTGCAGTCTTCTTCGCAGCATCAGAAAAGCAACTATGATCGGTTTGCCCACGGACCAACCTATTCCCCGGGTGACTACGTCTGGCTCCATC